GGATGGAAGGGTATGTTCAAACTTCAACATCTGTTTGGAATGTGTGATCTTGGCTAACTGCGATAGTGTGTATGTGTACATGCTTGTTTGGTTCTGCTTAAGATGATTGATATTAGTTTCAGCTCGAACAATGATAGATGAGATTATAGGGAAGCTGAAGAACACGATATATGCATGTGCCGTGGGGTGCTTGGCATTTGAACCTGAATTGTTAGTTTAATTACACGGTAAGAGTTGATTACAGTTGGTCCTATACATAGGTGAGATATTGGGTTTAGGATAAATTAATTGGAAGTATGTTAATCTGGAAAAAATTCCAGATTTGTTAAGTTGTGTGTGTCTACGGGCATAGGTGCTTGGGATCTGAAAATAATTGAAGAAAGGCTGCAACCGTGGAGCATTGTTATCATAAGTGTTATATATATATATATATTTATAGGCTAGGTGGTGGCCGAATATTAAGGGAAGAACCTGAAACTTATATATATGGGTGAAATGGATTGAGGCCGAGGGAGATTAAAGAAGAATGGAGGTATGGGTTCATAGAAGTGACATGTAAAAATGGAAGAAAAGTGAGTTAATTAGATAAGGAGTTATTGTTTGGTTTTGAATAAATATGAGCAAATGAAATGTTTAGAAGCTTATGGGAGAGAGAAAATGAGAAATCAAGAGAGGATGACAAGCTTGAATTATTGATGTCACATTGGTTTTGGTGTTCGAATTATAAAGAGATTAAGAATGGAATTAGAAGGAGAATAAAGGGATTAAAAATATGGTTTATAATCAGTTATGGTTTTAAGTTATTTAAATAGAGATTTCATATTGTTGATTTGAGGTTGTTACATTGAAAGGTGTACGTAAAAGATTTATCTTGAGGTTCAATTGATGAATTTAAATGAATTTAATAGAGCATTACGTAAAAGAACTTGAGGTGAATAAGGATAAGTATATATGTGTGTATCTTTACTTTTTCCATGTTACCATCCACTTAATAGTGGAACTGAATTTGGAATTGGGGACACGGAGTTAACCTTAAATGCAATAATTAAAGATAATATATTTGACCAAGATGACCAGTTACTAAGTAAAGTAACTATATGGGTTGAGACAAGGAAGGAAGCATTCCAAAGAGAATAGTTGAATAAGAAAAACAATCCAGGATGATCAACTGCTACGTAAGGGTAGAGATTAAAGAAGATTTGGGATTTAAAGAGTTATTTAATTTATGAGATACAGTTGGATCAAGTACTGATCTACCCTTACTAATATGATAGGTTTTTATATCTGCTCAAGCCCACCAAGAAATAGAAAGAAAGGAGAACGGTAAGGTTTGATTTGGAGGGATGCGGACCAAGTAGTAGTTCTTTCCTCCCTTACACTTGTGTATGATTGCTGCATGTCTGTTTGTGCCATATTGCTATTCAAAAAGCATGAGAACATGTAATCCTTAATTCCTTGCATGGATTATTTAGCCGTGATCACGTGTAGCTGATAGACATGGGGCAGTGATTGCCAATTATTTGCGCTTTACTTATTCAGCTTGTCTAACCGACATGGGGTAGTGATTGCCAATTATATGCGCGGCAGTGATTGCCTATTATTTGCGCATTATTTATTCAGCTTGTCTATCTGTCATTGCGCATAAATGCTTAATTACATTAGCTTGCAAGGTTTTGTTCCATATGGCTTGTTTTGCATGTTTTATGTGATCTGCACATTTGTTTGATGGAAATTACTACTACGGGGATTCTTCGGAATCTCACCCCCCAATTTATGATGAACAGTGAAGGCTAGTAGTTAGAAGGACAAGGAGGTTATTTAAGAAGAAGGTGGGCTGATTGAAGAGCAGAGATACCTGTTATAATTCTGTAAATTGTATAGTAAAATATTCGGGCAAGTAACTTTACTTGCTTTATGGAAATATTATTTTGTATCCTTTAGAAGAAAGAGGTGAGCATTGCCAGGTGCACGTATATGCTGTCAACCAAGAGCGTTGCTTTATTTCTAATATAATATTATAAGATTGTATAGTATGAAATTATTTTAGATGATAATAGATTAAGTTGAAAGCAGGGTTGATATTGGATCACTCATCAGTTATCTGAAGCTTTGAAACATTTGATCAACGGTTTCTAATGTTAAAGAAAGATTAAAAAAAAAAAATTCCCTGTCTTTTCCCAGGATGGAAACCTGGTGTTAGTGATTCACAGGCGTTAAAAATGATCTATTAGTATATAAAAGTGAGGTGTTGCACCATTTCATTCTGTCGTAAGTGCTTATACCTATTAAACTTGCTGCAAAATTTGGTATGTAAACAAAATTTACAATAAATCAACACTTATGCCATCTCTAGCCTCCACACAAATTTGCCATAGAGTAAATCTCATCAACGAGGAAAAAATTGTCAAAATACCAAAATTTAAATAAAAATACAAAAAAAAACACTATTTGAAATACTAAAACTTCAATAAAAATACAAAAAAATGTACTTGCATATATAAGGTGGACAATGGGAAGAGGCGAGCAAGAGAAGTACATGAGAATGAGAAAGATGATTTCAGGAAAAAGATGTAATAAGAAAGAAAAGAGCTGTGGATCAGAATGTGCGTTTTGAGTAGTGAGGGCGACTTTCAGAACACAAGTAGATGCATATATAGGAGGACCATTCTTGAACAACTATGTACATGTATAATCGATGTGCAATAAAAGCTGCCTCAACAAGAGATATATATCAAGTGTCTTGATATTAATGCATCCATTCACCTAATATTCCAAAGGCTTTAATTTCCATAAATTTCTGGGTTCCCCAATCAATAATATATGCTCCTCTCATCTTATTTACAAGGTATTCTCGCAATAAGTTTTATCAGAACCAATAAAAAACCTTGAACCTTACTAGTTTTATCTTAAAATTTAAGAATTTTTCAACTTATTTTTCTTACTTAATATTTACTACTTTATTTGAAAATATAAAGTTAAGACAATAATAAATAAAACTTAAAATTACTTTAATGATGTAACTTATGAATAGAATCAGAATAAATCTTCTTTCTTTGCTTTCTGTAAGTCTAATATGCTGCTTCATGAGTATTTATTGCCCCTTTAATAATGGTTCTATCTTCTTCTGGTTTCAATGTTTCATTACAGAGGCACGTGCTAGCCTCCCATATATTTTCTGGGTTCAACCTTATTACAAATTAAAGTACATATGTACATTGTTAATTGTTTTCTTAAGTAACACATTAACAAATTGAAACACACGCACCTACACAAGTGAAGAGATTTAATGGATCCTGATGATGAGCTGTTTAACAGGCGAAAAAAATATTATTAAGTAAAACTGATGCGAAATAGAAAATTTCACGTTTATGATATGAAGAACAAAAAAGATGTGGGGGATCGAATTAATAAGGGCGGGATGCATGTGGTTGCAACCGTCCGTGAAATAGACAGTTCACACACAGGCCCATAAATTTTAAAGGCTTCCTTATTCAATTCTCCCACCAGAAAATGAGGTGACCCCATGTTCCTGTCTCTCTCTAGTCAAGTCCAACCACCTTAATTGTGTTCCACTGAGTTTTCATGCTGCTATCGTAAGTATCACATTTATTTGTTGTCTCTGGCTCAACATCTGATCGATGGGTGTATGTGTTTGATCCGAAGTTATGCACTGTTACTCATGATCTCCTGTTAGTGTAAAAGAACCATCATTGACAAAGCAAGAGATCTCTTGATTCATTGATCAAGGGCCGGGTAGGAGAACGAGTGGCGGTTGAAGATTCGAACATTATTGATGTATTAAAAAGACATTACTACTTGGGCTGTTTTCTTGACGATGTCTCTGAGAGTTTATTGTTGGACCCATGAAAAGATTGGAATGACTTAGCAAACAAGCCGATCGAACTTTGCTAGTGACATCTCATAGTCATTCGATTTCCTTCCATCACAAGAGGGTCGCAAGATTGAGGTTCATAAACACTTGTAAAAGAGTCTAAGGATTCATCATATATATATAATCACCCATAATAAGGTTTAGGGTATCATCGCCGTCCCCATGAGATAACCCTACACAATCAATACCATCCACTCTGAACTGAATTTGAAATGCACTTTAAAGGTCTCATAATACTTCTGAATTTGGAATCACAAGGTTTTATTACAGTTCAAGCACAAATCTCTAACTAATAACATGCATCTGCATACGCATAATAATGCTTTTCCGCTTCTTCCATCTGCTCTTTTCCTTCATGGCTCTTCATCAGATGACTCATCGTCTGTGTATGAACACAAATTCACACTTCAACTTACATCTTTTCCCATCCAAAGCTTTAAACATCTTTAGTATAACAAATAAAGCAGATCAGCACATTTATGTCAGGAATTTAAGATTACAGCATGCTCAGAACCTTTCCCAATTCAGAATTCTGATTCATATCTGAAGTATACATAATTTTGGAGGGCAACATAATATACCGCATTAAAAGAAATGTTTTTTCGAGTGAATAAAATAAATATTTGTTCAAAATCATTAATAAGATAAATTTTTAATAATCAATATCTGCGTGCTATGAAATAAAGTTGATATCTTTCTTCTTCTTTTTTAAAGTGAATAATAATAATTAAATTTTGGAATTATAAGTTTGCTGGATACAGAAATCCTAAGATATCAACTAATTAGAACGAACAAGTAAGTCTATGGAAGTTTAGATCTTTGTGATTTGATCATAAGCTCAAGAACCGACAAGTAATATAAAGACGTAGCCAGGAACAAAGATTTTTCCCCTTTCCTTTTGGAAAGAATACTAGAATCATAGATTAAAATTTTAAATACAAATTTCGGGTTTGTAACAGAGACTTGACTGGGAAGAAACTCTGTTTTATTTAAAAAATGGTTAATCAGTAGAGTACATTTTGTAATATTTGTTCCAGTGGTGTATATTTTTAATGTATTATTATGCATAAATAAGGAAATTGTGGGAGCAAGATAAATAGTGAAATACCTGTGGTTTGGGTGGAAGCGGCTTGCTGGGAGGAGAAGTCCAATTTTGGGCATTCATCTATCTGGACTTCTTGGAGTTTTAGTTTTGGAGCATTTAGCAGGAATCCTTTGCAGAAGTGAGTGAGGGCTGGCAGTTTTGAAAGTTTCAATGAGTATAGATGTGGTAGCCCAAGTTCTTGCGTACTGGCAGTGGCTTCATCACTTTTATGTGAACAGAGCTCATCCATTTGTGTAGCCTCTGATACCTCAATGCGTTCTAGTGGCGGAAGCATTCCAACGTCAACGTACCTGAGAAGGCATTTCAATTTGTTGCAGCGTTTCACTGTTATGATCCTCAATTTTGGAAAAGGCAACTGCAAATAATTCGAGTCAGATACAGCATTCTGAGCTTCTTCTAACGACTCTTGCATGATTTCCTCTACTTCCTCACATTCTGTAATTGTGAGTACTTCCAATTGTGGAAGGCTTCCCGAAACAGACATGGAGAATATACATTTGAGTTTTCCACATCCATGCACTCCTAAATTCCAAAGATATTGGAAGCCTAAATTTTGGGAGGAAGTGAAAGCTCTGCATATAAAACTCAGCTCACTTAGGTCTTGGAACTCTAATTCCCTTAAACTCAGGGCTGTTGGATAGAAATATGGAAGTTGATGAAACGGTTGGTTGCCGTTGTTGGCGTGAGGCTCTACTTTCTATGCAACACACAAATGAACCACATTAATGAACTAACAAAGAAAGAAAGCCAAATAAAGACATTTAACAATTCGGCCAATAATAATTTAGTGTATACATAATACAGAGTAAAGGCAATTCAAGGCTCTGAGTATAAAGTGTTTAAGCAGCACTAACTTTTTGTATTTTATTGTTGTCCTCCATGCGAAACAAACAAAACCAACACTCGAATACAACTTACCTGTGTAAATATTGAAATCCACATGCTCCCAGTTGCTCCCATAACTGAAGAAAATTTTGGGCAATTCTTCATTTCAAGTATTCCGCCATTCTCTACGGATAACTTAAATCCTTTGCAGATATCAACAAGACTTGGCAATTCCTTCAGTAGTATGTTTGTAAAATTTGGAAGCACAATTTTGTTGACATTGTCACTACTGCTGTTGGGTTCACTCCTACGTTCAAAGAGCTGCTCTAACTCTGCACATTCTGATATGTCTATATAGTATAAATGTGGAGGCAATATGGTGACAGAGGAGGTTGAGAAAAGAGACTTAAGCTTGTTGCATTGGTACACCATCAATTCTTTCAATTTAGGAAAGCTAGTTTGGAATGATTGGTGATCTTGTTGTGTCAAAATCACCTCCAACTCCTCACAGCTCTGTATCATGAGCGTCTCTAACATTGGGAGGCTTCTTTCGGGGCTGCCCTCACCAAATACGGATTTCAATTTCTTACAATTATACAGGTCTAATGTTCGAAGATGGATAAGGTTTGAAATATGTGAAGGAGCTCCCCATATCAGCCACAACTCAGGGAGACTTTCTAATTCTAATACTTCCAGTTTTGAACACAACAGCTGCATATACACAGACCAAACAAACACACATCAGCGTAATAACACAAGACAAGAAGCCGCTTCCTTTTCCAAATGCCAATCATCACTACAACATTTTTGCTTTATAACAATAATTCAAAATTATTGCCTAGCAACGAAACTATATTGCCTATATCTTTAGGCAACATCTCTCTTCTTTTGCATACTTCAACACCAGTGTCATGTGGTTTGCAACAAAATATTATCAAAATAATTTTTTAATTCATCTAATTAATAAATTAATAAACTTACTAATAAATACATAAAATTTTTAAAAATAAAAAATGAATGGTTCTTTTGATGCATTGGAAAATAGTGGGCAACATTTCTCGAATGTTGGGAAGAAATATTTAAAGGCCACATTTATCTTTTAATTACCTATAAAAATATGGAGTAGCTTTTATGTGTTGCAATAAAAATAGTTTTATAGTCAACAATTTTTATGTTGCCTATTTGACGATTTCAATTCAATAGTTGAAAATTGTCGCCTATTCTATTTTAGGGAATACTTTTAGATCTGTTGTTAAATATTACTATTGCCTGTTCATATGTTAGATTACGCAACAATTTCAGAACTGTTGCATAGTCAAGTGTTACTAAAATTAAAAAATTTTCCAACGTCCCCTTTTCTTCATATTCAATAAAATAATAAGAAATACGACTATAAAAAAAAATTCTAGCTGTCTAGCCTATGCGCGTGCGCGCACATATATAAAAATTAGGGTAACAAAAATATAAAGAAAACTATTTGAATGTCATTTTTTCCCTTTTAACAAAACTAAAGATATTTAAAACTGCTCATTTTAATTTACATAGAATTTTCATTTGAAATGAAAAAATTAATCAATCAGCTGTTATAAGTTCGCATGGTTTGCTAAAGAAAAAGAAACCAAAATTTAAAATTTGTTTTGAATAATCATACTGTATATATATCTATAAAGTATTGGACGGAAGGGTCTACATTCAAGAAATGTAAAATGTTAAATCCTTTGACAAAATTCATCCTTTGGAAAAAATTATATGTTCAAATTCCTGCTTCTAAATAAAATTAGAATTTTAGTATATATTTTTTTTTTAATTTTAATTTAGAATTAAAAATCGATAATTCTACTATTATTTTTCTGTACAATTTCCTATAAAATCCTTACCAAAAAGAGGGAGGGACAACAATAAGAAAAAATCAAATAGTATTATATGTATTTATGCCATAAAAATATTTAGAAATCATTAACATGGGTACATATTGTGTATATTCGTTATTAGGATCTTGAATCTCTAATTTTGTTAATCTAAAATGAAGTGAATACAAATATTGCATCATCCTAGGATATAATAATATTTTAAGATTCAAGAAAGAAAAAGAAGGAAAAAAAACTTATCTGCGATTAGATACTTAAGGATTCCAAGGACCAATAAATTGAGCTGCAATAAAGAGAGAAAAAATTCATTTAAAGAAAGGGAAACAATTAGCAAAGATGTGAGTACCTGGCGAAGACAATCATTAGAAAAGGATAAATTGTGACATAAATCCTTGAGACTTGGCACTTCTCCTAGAATCAAACTCCTTAAATTAGGTAATACATTCTCCGAAAAATCACTCCAATCTATGGCCATTGAAAATAGGCATTTTAACTTGTTGCATCTTTGAACTCGAAGCCTTTTCAGATTTGGAAAACATATTTGTGGTGAATGAGGAGAATTCAATGGGCTTTGATGTTGCTCTCCTACCTCTGCACTGGATGCTATTTCCTCTAATTCATCACAATCTGATATTTCAAGACATTTCAATGGTGGCATGCGCTTAAGAATTACAGGGGAGAAAATAGTTTTCAAATTGTTGCACCCACTCACTCTGAATTCTCTAAGATTTCGGAGGCTCAATTTTTCCATGGGACCACTCCAAACAAATTTTAGATCGGGCAGATTCTTCAATTTCAGAGCATTTAAGGAAGACGTTAACTTGCTTTGTGAAGTCCTTTTAGTCAAAACATCCTCTTCAAGTCTAAATAGAATGTCTTCCGTACTACAATCATCGACCTTAAGTTTCTCTAAATTGAGAAATGATAGTGGAGCTGAAATCCCACTATTCAATTGATTGTCCTGTGGCAAAGGATTTCACAAATCAAAATAAGATACTCACATTTGGTTTTTGCATCATTTTCATAGATATTATGAAAAAAATAGCAATAAAAATTTAGGCAAAGAATTTAATAGAGGGCACTTGAAAATACATACCATATTTATAGTTGAACCAACAGTGATATTAACAAATGAATCTTTGAATTTGGGACATTTCACGCATTGCATTTCTCTCAAACGTGGGCAACTTGAATGAATGGTTTTTGGAAAAATGCTGAGCAAATTTTTCAAGCCATTGAGTTCGAGTGATTTCAAAGCAGGAAGCTTGATTTGAACCTCTTGATGCTCATCTTCATGTTGACCAAAAGCATATTTTAGTTGAGAAGCCCCAGAAATGCACACCTCCTCCAACTGCTCAAGGCCTTGTACACAAGAGTTCGAGAATACATATTCTAACTTATCACAATCAATGATGGTCAAACTTTTCAATTTTGAGAACACCAAAGATGCACTATTGTTCGAAGCTGAAATAATTTCACTGTTAGCACCATCGCCATCCTCCTCTATTATATTCTTCAGTTCACTGCAACCATTTATATTTAGCTTTTGTAACAATAGTATAGCTCTCACAACACACTTTGGAAATAGCGAAGTCAGCTTAGGGCAATGGGATATATGTAGCTCTTGTAATTTCTCAAAGAAGCAAAGCTGAGGGGGACCACACCAAATGACTTTCAAGTTCGCTAAAGACTCCAACCTTAAGTTGATTACCTTTGGGAAGAGCCAAGTTTCTATTTCATGAGAAGTTGCATCTACAAGGCATTCCAAATCTGAACAAAACTGGAGGCATGATGTGGTCAACTCATTCATCCCTCCTGCAACTTGAACAAAGTCTGGTACAATATTTTTACAACCTACATCACATCTATACAAACAAACAAATTCTGCTTGTTGCAAAAGATCTTTAATAAATGGACTTAAGGCAGAGATTTTTAACTCTTGCAAGGATAAAGCCTTGGAATGAAAATGCATCAAATGTTGATGATCACCACTGAATGTACTAACACTATACTTGTTAATAATTTGAAGTTTATATCTCTTCAATCTAGGAAAACCAGCATCTTTCAATAAACATTTACCAGGTCTTAAAGTTGTTCTGATTTTCTGAACATAAAACTCTTGTAGTTGTGTGCATCTTTTTATTATCTTAAAACTTTGCTCCCCAATATAATCTAAATCTAACAGCTTCAATTTACTCAACTCTTCCAATCCTTGTGGCAGATCCTCAAACCTACTATCTTTCAAGTCAAGAACTTCAAGTCTTTTGAGGCCTAACACCCATGACAAATCATCACCTAATTGATAGTTTCGCAAGATCAGGGTTCGTAGATTAGTTAGCAAATTCATAGAGTGTGGCAATGATAACAAGCGGGATCCTACAAGGCCCTTATATGGACAATGAATCTGCAAAACCTTGAGCAATCCCATACCTGCAAAATTTGCTTCTGATAATTCACGTTCATCACCTATATCATTTAGCAGCAAAATCTCTAGTTTTGGAGCATCGAATTGTGGGGGAAATTGAGATTTTTCATTGCACCAAGAAGTGAATGCGTAACAATCTTTTATAGACCCATTTGTTGCCATCTTCATATCCTTCTCAAGATTCACTACAATATTACGATTTTCTTGACGTGATATCCACAACGCTACATCACGAACTACGTCATGCATTCTCAATCGGCCTTTATACTTCTCGGAACGCATTAGCAAACAAGAATCCACAAGGATATTTACACATGCGCCCACTTTGTTTCTTGCTTCTTCAAGAGAGTTCAATTCTTCACACATGTCCAAACCTATCATGATTCTGAACAAATCTTCAATCAAGATATTTGCGTCTTCTGGATACATGCAGCATGTCAAGAAGAGTGACTTGGCTTCATTGCTCCTTAAATAATCGTAACTCAACTGAAGACAAGGAAAAGCGTCTCTGACACCTTCTTCCACATCAATTGGTTTTGACTTCCTTAATCTGTTTAGCGCTTGCTTCCATTCTGCTACAGACTTTCCTTTCAAGGAGGCTCCGACGGCTTGAATTGCAATAGGAAGTCCTTTGCATTCCCTTACAATTCCTTGTGCCACATTACTCAATGATTCATCAACATTACGAGCATGTTTTTGGAATAATGTCCAAGATTCTTCATCAGATAAAAGATGCAAGGGAATCTTTCTTTCACAATCCATCAAACTGCATACTTGTTGGCGCCGAGTGGTAAGAAGGATCTTGCAACCACGATAATCCTCAAGAGGGATACCGACATCCTTCAAATGGATCCCAGCCCATACGTCATCGAATATTATAAGAATTCTTTCCCTATTGCTCAGTCTCATCGATAAACGTCTAGCTCTTCCTGCTTCACTTTGTTCATCTAATTTCAAGTTGAACATATCTGCAATCTCATCTTGAATCTTTCTAATATTCGGAGTTTGGGACACAGTTGTAAATATGACTAGATCAAAAAGGTTTGATTTCTTGGCTTCTTTGCCTACTTCTGTTACCAAGGTTGTTTTGCCGGAGCCCCCCATCCCATACAATCCAATCATGCGAACCCCAGAGTCTCGGAGAGCTGCCATCAATTGATCAAAAGCCAACCTTGTAGACTGGAAATACTCAAAATTCTTAGAATCAAAGTACTCTACATCTGGGATTGGAACAGGTATAGAAACGGAATCAAATTTACTCCTTTGATTGAGATTCTTTGTTGCCTCAATCATCTTTGTCATTTGTCTACAGAATCGATATCTCCTCCAAGTAGGACACCTTCCTTGAAAGCAACTATTGCTTTCCTTCATTTGCTGCTCCAATTTCTGCACCTCATCCATATGACTCCTCACTTCACCTAACCACTTGTCAACAGCATCAAGAATTTTATCAGTTCTGTTAAGTGCTTCTTGAACACGCGCTTGAATTCCATCTTGTCTTGATGCAAGCTCCTGCTTTTCAGTTTCAAGAGTTTTTGTGATGTTGCCTGCACAAAACAAGTACTGTCCTTGACGTACCAGTGGAGCTACCGAATATTCAACGAGTTTGGCAATAACTGATCCTGCAATTTCTGCCATTTAAGCCAAAACTACCTGAAAGACAAGCGGATCAAAACCTATCATTATGAGCTTTACCATTAAATGAGTTGTTGGTAATCTCATGCAGAATCAGATTATAATAGCCTGATTTTCTAATATAAAAATGATAAAGAAAAATATGCTTGTGTTCATATAAAATTGATAAGTAGGACAGGTGATTGGATCTCAGTAAATGAAGACTTTCGACTTGCCTCCCAGATTCTAATAATAGATGCACTTCTTGACCCAAGCACGTAAGAACATGTTAGTACCCACAAAAATGCATATTTGATCTTTTAAGTAGTCTTTATTTTAGTTTTTGAATTATATAAAGTGACTTTTTATTTCTCTAATCATAATTAATGATATTAGTATCATTAACAAAAACAATTCTAACATTGAAATTTTAAATACAAATAAAACATTCTCAAATACTAATATAATATAACAGTTTTTTAATAAAAAAAATGATGAGGATTGACATAAAAAATCATCATTTACAACTAAAAGTATTAGAGTTTGGAAACATAAAAAGAGATTCATAAAATTGAGGAATTAAACTGAAGCTTTATGTAAAATTAAATAATCAAAATACGCTTCTGCTTAGGATAGAAATATAATGAATTTTTAAATAAATTAAAATATGTAATTAATTTATAACATATAAAATTAATAACATCATATGAAGTATCGTAATGTTTAAATAAATAATACATTAAAATTTTTTTAATCTAAATTATTTTTAGGCATTGTTTATGCTCAAAATTGGGTTAAAATACGACTCAATCGTTAATCAATAATATGTGTAGATTGGAATAATAGCTTAGAAAGTATGTATATCGTGGCTTTAGATTTTAAGAAAGATTTATATCGGCTTCAGAAATAATATAACCTTTAACCCTTAAAATTTTTCCTCACTTATGGATAGTCCCCAAATTTTGACTCACTACATTTCAATAATTCAATCCTTATAATTTATTGAATATAAGAAATTATATAGTTATGGAGTTGTATTAAATTAAAAAATCATGAGAACTAAATTGTTTCCAGATTATCAACTATACGAACTAAGTCATTCCAAATGAAAGTTTAAGAAACTGGATTGATAATTAAGAAAAACTTTGAACCATGTAAACTTTTTCCTTGCGTGAAAAGGAGATCAGACATACATGTATGACGTTTCTAAGAAGGAAGCAGGAATGGGGAAAAAAGTGAGGGTGCTTTTTATTTATCAAGCTCACTCCCAGCACATTTTGCCATTAAATGATTGCAATATTATTCATATCACTAGTACTGTCTTTTAAATCAAACATAACATTGAAAATAATGAGAAGAAGACTGACTGACACAGATGATGATGATGATGATAAGTGGAACCGCCTGAAACCAAACACACACACACACACATATCTGAGCTCTAGCTGCAGCCTATAACCCAAGACCCATATCACAAATTAAAGTCAGAAAGCAAAGCACAGGTAATTGCAATAAGTTTTCAATGCAAATTTGTTAATTTCAACCCACAGAATCTAAAAGCCAGCGGAAGCATGTGGAGAAGTTTAAGGCAAGCGTGGAGAAAACTCAAAACCGCCCATAAGATTTGGAAATAAAAATTCAAACTGACCAAGGGATGGAGGAGTTGCGTTGGAAGGAGGTTTGAGAGAGAGAGGCTGATCGACGGTGAATTATGACAGCGTCCCGGCGAACGGCTGCGAGCAGTGGAAGACGCAGACTGGAAAAAGGCGAATGAAAGGAATTAGAAGTGATGAAGGGCTTGAGAGAGAAAGAGAGGAAGCAGAGGATCGGAAGCCAAGCTGAAGTTGTATGTGTTGAAAGGATTGCCCAAGCCTTCCTTTTTGCTTTTGGATGCTAATAATTAGGATCACTGCTTAGTTTCCTGGTCATTTCCTATCTTCACTTTACTTTGATCATGGGTCAATGCGTTCTCACATGCAAAGTCATGCCTCTCGTTCCGAATCAATCACTTTAACAAAAGTGCTTTAATTTTGGATATATGTTGAATTATTGATGGTTGTGTAGGCCCTTCTTGTCTGCCATTTCAAATTAATAAAGTGATATAATCCAATTTATCTTCACCTTCTCTATTAAACTATTAATTTGTCCCCATCAGTTAACAGGATTTGTAATTTTAAGAGAATCTTACTGCTAATTAGGTGCTTGCCAGCTGGTGTCAACTTCACATATGTAGTTTATTTTAATCAACATTGGGGGGGGGGGGGAAACGGGGAAAAAGAGAGAGATATATAGACCTGGTTGGTTGATGCTTATGACAAATTATGAGAAGATAAACTCAATAATGGAAACAACAGGGACACCTAAGAAGAATATCTCTGTTGAAAGTTGAAAATAATGAAAAAGATAAACTCGCGGAGGTAGCTCTGCTTAATTAAAATCTCCTCAGCTTTAGAAAAGAAAAGGTGCATGTCGGAGCTGGATAATTGTGAAGGAAAAGTATTGTGGAACATAAACAATATAATTTAAACATTCAAAAGGACCTCCAACAAATTAATAAAAGATGTGAGGGACATATAGTAATAGTATGAGGTCATAGGGAGAATTGAACTCGCCATCTTACAAACCCAAAATGTTCGGCTTAAGCAAGAGGGAACTGGATCAAGTAATTGGCTGTCATTTTTGGCACATGAGGCTCTGTTTCCTGTGTTAAAAGACAAATGAAGAAGATTATTATCATTTATTAACGCAATAACAGATGGAGGCCACAGAAATTTAACAAGGAACCACTAAAAATGATTTGAACCATAATTTTTTCAGGCAGAAAACACCTCAAAGGCTCTGTTCACAGTGTTCTAGCACTGTGAACAGAAATCCTTGAGATTTGGTGCTTTTTTTAGAGTTAGTTTTATCAACTTGGGTATGATCCTCTTATCTGAATTATTTTGCCATTTAATTTAAGCCTCACCTCTAAAAGTTTTCTCTAATGGTGCAGCTCTTGACACATGGAGATCCTGCAACTCAGGGAGATCATCCCAAGCTATAACCACAGAAAATAAGCATTTTAACTGGTTACATCTAGTCAAGCTGTTGGCAACTTTGATTGATGATTTTCCCCGAAGCTTCGTTTTTTCACTTTTGGGGTCAACGTGTCCTCACATAAAGTCATGCCTCTCGTTCCCGTGATCCTTCCAAATAATTATTATGATCATCTACAGTTATCCACTTTGCTACAGTATTCGTGCCATTCGTTTGGGTAAACAATTAAGAGTAAAAGCCAAGAACCAGAGATATTAAAAGGACTAAGGACCAACACAGATCAGATACGAAAGCACGAGGGAGCCACTAGCCAAGGCCTTGAATGGGACATAGCAGCCTTAGTCCCAATTAATTAGGCCCATTCCAAAACCAAAGCCAGTGAGGATGGACAGGCACAACCTCATGGACATAACTTCCTCACTAACTAATCATAATATCTGCATATATCTTCAGGCTTTTCACTTCTTCCATCTGCTCTTTCTTTCAATGTTTTGTCCATCACGACGTCAATTCATTTTGCAATGGTCATTCTGCACATCAAAACAAATTGGCATTTCAAGCTACATAAATAATTTCCTAACCACAGTTTATATATTTGATCCATTCGTGTGTGTGTGTATGCATGTAGTAGTAGTGTTTAAGAAAGAAATAAGGTGGCAGCTTGATAAACACCTGTGCCTTCCAGAAGGGAGAAGCCAAAATTTGGGCATTCGTATACTTGGACATCATGAAGGTAGGCAGCATTTAACTTGGATCCTTTGCAGAAGTGAGTGAGGGCAGGCAAATTTGAAAGATACAATTTCTCTAGATTTGGAAGCACAATTTCTTGCATATTGGCAGTTCCTTGATCACTTTTATATGATAAAAGCTCCCCCATTTGTGCAGCCTTTGATACCTCAATGCACTGTAGTTGTGGCAGCATTCCAAGTACAACATTTCTGAGAAGGCATTTCAACTTGTTGCAGCCCCTCACCTCTATTTCCTTTAGTTTTCGAAAAGGAAAGTGCATATTGGGGTTGGTTAGATTCTGATGAGCTTCTTCTCGTTCTTCCATGATTTCCTCTATTTCCTCACATTCTGTAATTTTCAAGGATGTCAACTGTGGGAGGCTTCCCCAAACAGACATGGACAAGATACATTTTAGTTTCCCACATCGATGCACTGCTAAAGATTGAAGATATAGGAAGCCCAAGTTTTGAGAGGAAGTAAAAGCCGTGAATATGCAACTTAGTTCACTTAGCTTTTGTAATTCTAATTCCTCCAAAAACAAGTTTTCTGAGAAGGAATATGGAACTTGATCCAGGTGTTGGTTGCCGTTATTGGCATTAGGCAATGCTTCCTTCTACAGAAAACACAAATGAGCTAAGAAAGAAAGCCTAAAGACGTTTAATTATAAAAGACTACAACAAAATTGTTCCGGCCAATACTTGTTTTGTGTAATACAGAGTAGAGGCAATTCAAGGTTCTAAATATTACTTGTTTAAGCACCATTATCTTATTTTATTTTATTGTTGTCCTCAATGGGAAACCAACAAAACCAACATTAAAATACAACTTGCTCGTCTTAATATGGAAAAGTACACGCTCCCAGTTGCTCCCATAATTGCAGAAAATTTTGGGCAATTCTCTATTAGGATATATCCATTGTTCACTACGGATAACTTGAAACCTTTGCAGATATCAACAAGACAAGGCAAATTCGTTAGGCTTATGTCTCTCAAGTTTGGAAGCATGATTTCACCTACGTTGTCACTACTACTGGCTTCACCACTATGTCTGAAAAGCTCCTCTAACTTTGCACATTCTGATATCCGTATTTTATATAATTGTGGAAGCAATATAGTGATAGAGGAGGTTGAGAAAAGGCACTTCAACTTGTTGCAGCCCTAAATAGTCAACTCATTCAATTTAGGAAAGCATGTTTGAAATTTTTTATCCTCTATCATAATTTCCTCCAACTCCTCGCATTTGCTTAAAACAAGAGTCTG